CGCCATCGTTAAAAAGAAACTGAAGAGTAAAACGTAAACCAGGGGAATAGATAGACCTAGTTGATGTGTTAAAATCTATGGCATGATAAGATAGGTTTTTTACATTCACCCTATATATTAGGGCTAACTAAGTTAATTAATCTAAATCGTGAAAGGAATAGATACAACATTTTGCATTAAAAGTTAAGTTTATCAATATTTCAAAAAGAAAGTAAGGACTTAACAAAATTCTTATATATATATAAGAATATTTCAAATTAAAAACAAGAAAAACTCAGGAACGAAAATCTATCAGCATTCGATCGATAAAGTCTCAATGAGCACGGTAATAAATTTGAATATTTCACCGATAAAGAAACGTCATCTCTATAAAATGTTTTATACATTCCATTGAAGCGCCATTCCTGAAGAAAAGAATTCTCTCTTCTCCTGTTTTTCCTAAGTTGCAGATGATTCGATGCTTCTATAAATATAAAAGGACTCTTCTTTCAATTACTGCCAAAAAACTAAAACATTTGATGGTAGTTTCACCTGACAATTAATGCTCTTTTGAGATATTATCCAACCAACAATAAAAAGTATGCATAGCTCTCTTTATCAATTTTCAAAATAAACTTCTAGCTACCCACTCCTTTATGGATCTATCCCCTCCTTTGAATAATAAAATGTAAACGAGACGGTTTAAGAAAATGTTTTCCAAACAAACAGTGTTTCCATTCTAAAATAAACTTTGCAGAAGTTTTCACGGACCGTTAACAGACAACATAAACACTTGAAATTTTTGAACAAATGCTAAGTAAACACGCAACTCATTACAAAATCCAAGAGGTTCTTGTTTTGCTTGGGGCAATTTATCGAGACAGGTCTCTCTTCAGGGGGTTCAAGGCGTAAAATCAAGATAATCAAGGAAGTAAAGGAAGGAAATTTGGACGGATCAGAGGGGTGTTGAGAGAAATCTCAAGTACGAAAGTAAAATAAAAGTATTGTGGATAATAAAACACACATCCCACATCACACTGCCAATTTACGCCTTTTCTATTGTATTGCATATTATCATAAGCAGCTTTTTAGAAGGAATCATGCAAAGACGACTGATAGTGTGACAGAGAGAGACTTGGCATTTTTCCCTTTAGTCATTTTAATATATGTACTTGCATGAAGCAAAGGATTTCAATGTAATTGTACTTGTACATTGAACGTTCAGGCAGATGCCGTGTGAGAATGCGGACTCACGTCGCGAGGATGACCTTCTCCGTGTAGATTCGAGGTGATTATTGAGAAAGAAAGGTGTTCTAGCAAGCCTTTTCGAATCGAGCAGAGTGAAGTTAAAGATTCCTTGAAAAAAAAAAGTATCATATATTTATGATGGCACATATTTCTATATATTGAAGCACATCTATTGCACCTAATTGAAGCGATTTACGACAAACAACTACACAATTAACATGTTCAAGATACCGTTTTATCGTGTTAAGTGAATTACTGCACCATTGTACTATCGGCATCAGGTTAAACTGTGGAAAAGCAGCGGATAATTTGATTTTTAACTTCCTAGGGATAGATAGGATTGGGAGACGGTGAGAGAGGAAGAAAGCAATTGAGGAATTCGGCGATTAGATTTGAGTGCTATCAATTAATTAAGGTTTTTAGTTAAGATAAAAAAGTCAATGGCACGAGCGGGATTCGAACCCACGATCTTCGGCTAGATACGCAGCTGCTCTACCATTTGAGCTATCGTGACCTCGATCCTCTAAGACATTAACTTCCCATCTCAACACCACCTTTTGAATTTTCCCTCCTTTTTTGCCATTTTTCAAATGTCGTTTTTTAACTTCCTAGGGATGGTTAGGATGGGGAGGCGGTGAGAGAGGCAGAAAGCAATTGAGCAATTCGGCGATTAGATTTGAGTGCTATCAATTAATTAAGGTTTTTAGTTGAAATAAAAAAAGTCAATGGCACGAGCGGGATTCGAACCCACTATCTTCTGCTAGATACGCAGCTGCTCTACCATTTGAGCTATCGTGACCTCGATCCACTCAGACACTAACTTCCCATCTCAACCCCACCTTTTGAATTTTCCCTCCTTTTTTGCCATTTTTCAAATGTCGTAATCTATTTGATTCTCGGCGACAACACGACATTAGCACTTAGTGTCTGAGTGGATCGAGGTGACGATAGCTCAAGTGGTAGAGCAGCGCCGTATCTAGCCGAAGATCGTGGGTTCGAATCACGCTCGTGACACTGACTTTTTTTCTCAACTAAAAACCTTAATTAATTGAAAGTTATTAATTGGTCAAGTGGACCACGAACACTAATGAATTTGAGTGCTATGTTGCACTCAGGTCTGTATGAGGAGGAGTGAAGACCGCTGGAAGATGGTGGAAAAGGATTTGACACCATTTTTTACTTGAGGTGACCCAGGATCTGTTGGGACGTCTATTAGGATGGTACGGGGATGTGTCGTGACTTTCTTAGTAGCTAACCATAGGAAATTATTTTGGATGACGGTGTCTTGAACACCTTAATAGATGTTCAAAAAGAAAAGAGAAAGAGGTTGTGACAACTTAAATTCCTCTTTTCAATGAATTAATCTTTGTGTAAGGTATTGGTTGAAATAAAAAAGCCAGTGTCACGAGCGGGATTCGAACCCACCACCTTCGGCTAAATACGCCGCTGCTCTACCACTTGAGCTATTGTGACTTCGATCCACTCGGACACCAACTTCCATTTTTGATACTGGCTTTTCTATTTCAACCAATACCTTACATAAATATTAATTAATTGAAAGAAATTATTTGGCCAATCAGACCACGAAATCTAATGGGATTAAATTCCTTGGTTGAATACAGAGTTCAGATACCACGTGTTAACTGACCTGCCCGCGGATAAACGATATTAAAACGACCCACATTTTTCCAAGTTTAAAAAAAGAAAAATACGTATTTACAGGCGTTCTGAGCTAATTAGTACAATTAAATAAATTAAATTTCCTAGACTAAAAAACTAACAAAAGTTTCTAGTGTTTGTGGGGTAGAAAAAAAAGGGGCTAAGATTATCTCAACATTAACTTACTCCCATGACTTAAGGAATCATTCACATAGAAGATTTAAAGTACCTATATTTATAACGGTTTGTAACAACGATATTGATAAAAAAATACATCCCGTTAACGTGCTATTAAGATAGCAATAACGTATATCGTGGACAATCGAGATTTTGATCAGCTAAATACGACATGTGTTGAGGAAGGTTATTCATACATTTGATGAATGGGTGATTAAATACGATGATTTTTCTAATGACAAAGATAAATAAAAAATACAGAGTTACTGGATTATCTGTTTAAAGTGCCTTGTTAGATATTATTCCATATAAGTGAATTTTATCCTACCTTTGCATGCATTCTTTATCACTCTTGATTCTTCTTTTCTGAATATTTTGTGATCAATTACATTACGATTACGTATACGAAAACCTTATCTTTCTTAAAAACCATCTTGCTAGTGTCCATTGCTCTATGAGTTAAATAATAACAAATAATCGTTTTTTACTATACTGAACAAACTTTTTTTCGAATTCCCCGCACGTGTTTTCGTATTTTGAATATTTTGTTATTTCTAATGTCAACCTACAAAGCTATTTCGAACATTGAAAGGCAGGTAAAAAAAGGTAAACATTAGTTCATAAAGCCGATATTCCAGTTTTTACAGAAGGGTCAACGCCTGTTTCTAGACTTCAAATGCAATGAATTTCTCAATTTTTGGATCACTCGACCGTTGTTAAATACAGGTATTTAAGGGATTTTGTTTTTAAAAATATATTTTATTCCGTTCATTCAACGTCTTTTTTCTCTTTCTGAAAGTAGTTTCTTTAAATACGGGGTAGTCAAAGAGACGCGTTTTTTAAAAGGTTAGTTTATTTCACGTTTTTTCTGCTACGTTACGGGCTATTTTTTCTTTTTCTGCCCATCATCAGGAAACCCATCCCATTGCGTTTTCTTTTTTTTTTCAAGAGACCTTTTTCCTTTTTGAATTTGGTAACTCTTCTTTGGCCTGTAGGCCGGGACAGAGGCAATTTAATTTTCACCTTCTTCTGTAATGCCCTTTTGAGGAGAGACAACTGAAATCTTCCTTACATGAAAAAAAAAACGCAATGGGATGGGTTTCCTGATGATGTGCAGAAAAAGAAAACAGCCCGAAACGATAAGAAAAAATATGACATACACTAACCTTTAAAAAAACCACCTGTCTGTCGTACTAGAAACTCTTTTTGGGACGAGATAAATATTTTAGTTCTAAAAGTATCAAAATATCGGGCGTTTTATCAACATAAAGATTACTTCAGCCGTGCCAAAGATATAAATTACGAAGGGAGAAACTGAACGGATACAAAAAAAAAGTAGGACGTAAATTGAACGTAAAATGTTCTAACAAAGAACAAAGACTATCAGAAACCACCCACGCTGAAGTGCAATTTTTGAAATTGATTGAAAAGGTTGCCCGCTTTTTCCAGGCGTTCCGAGATGACCATCGATTTATAAAATATATTTTCGTTAATTACCTTTTTTTACAATTTGTTTTATTAGAAATTAAACATGATTTACATGCGTGTGTTCTGAGCGGTTTATTGGGCTGAATGAACTGGTCGATAATCAACGCACTTGCTTTTATTATCAAGTGAACCGAAGCAGTAAATTGTGTTAATCACTTTGACATGATTAATTAGTCATTTAACCAACATTTTATTGAACACAACTCAGGGTTAGGTATGCATAACGTATGTTGATAAATAATAACATACTGTGAATTAAGAACTAAAGGGAAGAATCTATCCGACTTTCATTCATTATGGTTTGATTTCAAAAAATCTTAAATACGTAATTATTATTTTAGCTACAAAAATGCATAAAATATTTTAGAGATTCCTTGTTAAATAGTTTTTTTTATTTGATAGAACTGACAGAAATCACAATAGTAACACATAGGTTATAAATTACTCACTTGCTTTCCTTCAGATCCTAAAAGTGGGGTGTGAGCCTGGAAAACAAACGAATTATGATTAATTAAATAAATAAACAATAAGGTAAAACCATATTAACACAGTTTTAAACATATTCACGCATTATGATTTAGGATACTTAAAAAAATTCGTGTTATGAGCCATACAAGTCAAAGGTCTAATTAAGTATGTCCCATCGTTTTTGAAGAAATTTTTTTCGGTTTAAGTCGAAAAATTTAACACTCGTGTCCGAGCATTCTTGCCAAATGGGCCTAAGGACCAAGGAAAAAATTAAAATAGTTTGTTTAAATTTGTTCTTCTGCCTTCGATGTAAGTTTGATATCCTATTAATATGATGGACTAAAGCTCAAACAATTAGACAGCAATGACTATAACCTAGCTGCCTTAGAAACCAATATTAACTGTACCTTCATAAGAAACAAATTTATAAGGAGAAGACCATACAGGATTCAGAAACAATAAATTGGATGGGGACTTGAAATGTCGAACTACTACAATAACGCATAAAATCAGACATCCAATCCTGGAAATAGGGACTGATTTTATCTCCCCGGAAACATCCTTTGCAAAATCCTATACAGTTTTATCGGGCAAAGGGGAAGAAGAAATCAGAAGAAAATCAAATCACATTATGTCATAAGATGGCTTCAAAGCCAGTGAAAGAACCGGGTCGGGTATATTTTGAATAAACCCAAAAGTGAATAATCAAATTCATTAGGGAAGCACACCACGGTCTTTCAAGCTGAAATACATGCTATCAATGTTTGTGCCATAGAAAATCTTAAAACAGGTTTACTGATGCAAAACTTCAAATATACTCATAAGACCAGACAACCAAGCACCATAAATGCATTAGTGCGTAAACGGTATATGTCCAATAGTCAATAAATTACTCCAAAATCTTCTAAAGCTGGGAATCTCTTCCAGGACACAACGAAATTCTGGGTAACGAACTATTAGAGATGCTAGCCAGAGGAGCCATCTTTGGCCAAGAGATTATAATTGGTATAACAAGATCAAACATAGCCCCCCCCCTGTCCCAGAATAGGTCCATTAATTCTCAAGGATCGAGTCAATTGAAGTACCTTAGGAAATGGGAAAATAGAATAAGCCTAAGGCTGCAGTGCTTGAGAATACACTTAGCTTGTGGCAAATAGTAATTTGTTGTGCAATCATCAACTAGAGGTCTTCGTTGAAGTTAAGGTGTTTTGCCAGATCTCGAACCATAGTTCAGGGCTCGTGTGGGTATCCTTCAGGTTCTGGTTTTTCCTCTCCAGGAGAAGGAATCTTGGCCTGCTTTCGCAACCAATAAAGGACACGTTCCAAATTTTTATTCTTCTTCCTGGCAATATCGGCACAGGTTTCTTTCCGAGGCTCTGAGTCTGCAATAATCATACTAGTCCTAACACGTCTTAGGGTTTATTAGGTGTCCCGTTAATTTCTGTGTTGGTCTTTTAATGGTCATTTTCGTTTTGTTCTAATATACATGCCTATGAGCTGCTGATTTGTTCTTCCCCTTTTTGATGAATTTACATTTTGGCAATTTGAAATGCCCCAAAACGATTCCGGGCCCTTCCAATAACGTAGGATTTGTTTTAAGCCCGCTGAAATCGTGTAAACCCTTTAAATACGAAATGGCAATCAAAATGTCCCGTCTTCAACTTAAAAATGCAGGACTCATCTGGATTTTACCCACAAACGACAACGATTCGAAAGCCAATGTTTTTTTTTTGTCAGCCTATGTTTACATTTAAATTTGACGAGGATAAAATCAACAAAACTTCACGTAAGTTCTATTTTATACCATCCGTTTTAATTAATTTTCGGAGATTAATTTGTGCCTTAAAGTATAGTATCCATCAACTGTACGTTTTCTCTTGTCTAAGAAAAAATTGACCCGTGTTGGCAAAGTTTTGCGATTAGATATAAATGTGTACAGAATATGTATATACAGAAAATATTCCAAATTGCAGACAAATTGAATGGACTAGTGTTCTTTTCTAAATGATAAAAAAATTATTAATACTAATTTTACTTTAATCTATTAACGTTTAAAGAAGTTTATGAAAAAAACTGCATATGTACATATTTATAATGTATATATATATATATATATATATATATACANGACCATGGACAATATGAACTTTTTTGTTCATTTTAGGGTGAAGAATCTACTGGAGAAGTTTGTAGCACGAGTAGCAATTCACCCTGTATATATATATATATTTGTTTATCAAAAATATATTGTTGTAACTGTTAATGACTTTTCAAGTCACGAGCTTGTTGGTGATCGAAGTTCTACGATCTCTTAACTCTTAAGAACTCTTAAATTAGTAAAGCACGTAAAGCAAACGCCTTCTTCTGCGATAAAAAAAAAACTTTTATTGTCTAAAGTGTGTACAAAAAGCGGGAATTTTAACTATTTACATTTAGTCAAATAAAAAGGTAGCAGTTTAGTTACCTATCATGAGGATAAGTTATTGTCTTAAGTCCCGAAACAAGCTTTTAACCTTAAGGATATCCTTTCAATTAAAATTCCTTAGCCCATTGTTAATTTGTCACGACTGTTCTTTTGGAAAAAATCCGAGAAAATTGACACATGCAAATTCGTTTTCTAACCAGTACTACGTCAAGGTCAAACAGAAATCCGGCCAAGAAAACAATTTTAAATTTATAAAATGGATTTTAAAACATACGACATGCACGTCTGCGCCAGGATGAACACGGCGAAGCCTCACTTGCCGTTTTAATTAGACCCGTTTTTCGGCGGATCGATGTGAGAAAATCCACTCAAACGTGAATCAGTGGCGGTCCTCGGGTAAACAAGAGTAATTAAGTTTACACTGACCCGACGTGGGTAAATAGAGTCGAAGTGAGTACAGAACTCGATACGGCCAGGGGAAGTTATGCTAGGTCGACTTTGCAGGAAAGTTATGGGTGATTGCAGCATTCACAAACAAGCGGTCAAATTAAGCGTCGGAATTGGAAATTTTTACGACAGTAAATTCATAAACCCTCCGTAGCAAAGGATACACTGGTTTTAACTTAAAAAAGACAATTGATTAAGGTTTTTTAGTTGAGATAAAAAAAGTCAATGGCACGAGCGGGATTCGAACCCACGATCATCGGCTAGATACGCCGCTGCTCTACCACTTGAGTTATCGTGGGTTCGAATCCCGCTCGTGACACTGACTTTTTTATCTTAACTAAAAAACCTTAATTAATTGTAATATATTAATTGGTCAAGTGGACCACGAAATTAGTGAACTTAAAAAAGACATTCCCTATTACTATAAAAGCTAGTGGACAAACAGTAATAAAATATAGTATTTCTTTAAAGTTTCTATCTATATTTTTCTATAAAGACAGTAAGAAAGTTAAGGCTTTCTGATTAAAATTAGCGGTTGAGATATTTAAATTGCGAAAGTCATCCTTGCCAGGTAAAATCCGGTACAGGAAGACAGTGTGGAATGAATTCGCCAGTTGGCCAGTACATCATTCAGGACAAAGTAACAAGCAAAAAAATTGCAAAAGATGTCCAGAAGATTATAAATTAACTTTACTAACAATAATTAACACATATTATGTCCTATGTAAATTAAAAGATAAACAAAAGGAGAAAAAAATGAATATTCGGATAAACTCGAATCCAGCAGGATCAGATCAACTGAGTGTTCAAATTTAATGCAGAAAAGTTTAAATTAACAAAAAATATATAAAGCGTTCATGTTCCCTGAATTGAATAAAATATCTACCCTTTAAGGAGAAGTCCTGTTCGTTTTATTTCTTTATGACTAATTCAATAAGCATGCAAGAAAGTATTTAAACTGAGGCGGAAAGGTGTCCTTGGCTAGAGTACCCCAATGTTTCGAACACCTACAGCAAACATCTGTCTTAAGATAGTTAGAAGGGCTCAGGACGACCATCAACTGATGTTTTACATAAATCTTTAGAGGCAAATACAGCCACGTACAGTTGCGTATTGCCACAGAAAGTGGAGTGTGTCGATAATCGCTTTCTCCATAACACGGTAGACATAAAAAAATTGAATTAGACTAGTCCTGCAAGTCACAATACCCAGTACCCCCACACAGTAACCGGTTGAAAATTAAGAAAAACATAATCAAATTACAAGTAAAAGGAGATTTTACCAAAAGTACTGATGTGGTGAAAAGTGGGTTTACAGGGCAAAAATCATGATACCAATGGATAGATTGTATTTAAACGAGTTTTTCAGTTCACATAGAGTTAACGTGAAAAAACCGATTTTTATAACTGTTAATGACTCTTCAAGCCACGGGCTTTTCGGTTTTCTTCTACAATCTCTCAGCTCGTAAGTTTGGTAAGAGAACTAGTCCAGGCGTTAGCTTTGGTTTGGCTACCGCACTGATGTTCATTGCTAGAAGAATTCGCATGGTAACTTTCGACGGCCACCTCAAGCCGAAGAAAAGTTATATATCATCACACTTGGCTCAGGTTAAAAATATTAACAGCTCTGTATGAAATAAGATTACTCCACAGGGTCTGTAGTTTGGTCGTTTTATATAATTTAGATCTGCCTTTCCTCCCTGTATTGTTCTTGGCTTTTGAGCATTTGTTAACTTCTTTGTTCTGTTATTCAGTAATGGTCAAGATTGCAAAACGGTTGAGGCAAGGAATCGTCTACTTATATTCCCGTGATTTTTGCCTATGCCAAATGACAACCATGCACGGGACAGCCGGCTGGACTAAAATTCGCATAAAAGGATTCAGCTTCTTGCCTCACTCTGCTTAAACCCCGAACGACACTTAAGAAGAAAAAACGTAGCAGTACGTCTGATAGGCCAACGCAGCGAGGATAGACAGACCAGGATGGTCAAAAACGATCAAACTACTGGTTTATCATCACGCCGACCTTAAGAGTAAATGTAATTTATAAAAAGTAATCATCATTCTATGAATTGAAGCTTCGCCGCTGACCAGGAAAGAAAATTAAGTCAAAATCGAGGTAGGAAAGAAATTTTCAATATCCAAC